ATATTCAATATTTATTTTATATTTATTTCATCTAAGATTTTCATATTGCATGAAGTCGAATGGCACAGAAATCAGATTTTTCCTGGAAGAATAACAACCTTACAGATAATGTGACTTTTGGAAGGAAGAGAGGAGAGGGTTATCACAGGACTTGTTTTCTAGAATTCAATTGTGAGACTATTTTATTGGTAGGGGACAAGAAAAAAAAAAAGGGGAGTTGTCTTCCTCGTTTGAAAGAAAGATCCAAATATTGGAAGTTCCTGCTGTTCAGAAACGCCATGTTTTTGAACAGTTCTACTAATCATGTAATTAGATTCATGCTGCAACAAGCTCCAGATGGGTGCACTCTTGCAGCCACTAGGAATCCAGTGAAAGCCAGGGTGCTCCATATAAATCCAAATGAAAATTGCTGATGAATCTGCACTTATGCTGAAAATCCACTTCTAATTCAGCATCTGCTGAGTCTTCAGTTGTAGAAGGGAAACCTTTCCCTCGACAAAGACCAGACACTTTCTCCCTGTCAATGACTAAAAGATCAATAGTGGTGTAGAAGACAGTCACAGGCCACAGGTTGTATGAAGCTACACTGCTGGCCAGATACATTCCTCTGCTGACACTCCACCGCTATTTCAAACACTTCTCACTGTATGTCCAGAGGCTGCTCTTTTGCTTCATGCATCTCAGAACCCTGCAGCACTATGACTTTAATCCGTAATTGGAAACCCCAGATTTCTTTTTTTAAGTGAATTTTAAATATGCTCAAAAAGTTCAAGAGAATGTGCCAACAACACATTTAACATCTGGCAAGTTTTCTGAGAAGTACACACATTCTGGGTGACATCCTTATCCCATCATTTAGTGGAACTTACATTCAAATAGAAAATGAAAAAAAAAAAATTATAAGGATATCTGTTTGATAAAGTCAGAAAATGGAGAGCGATAGTACCTGGTCTGAATGAACTAAAAAAACTCAGCCAGTAGTGTAGTCTGGTTATGAATAAATAGAAATTGAAAAGACCATAGCTGTTAACTAAAAAATACTCTTTATGTTTTACCATCTGCAGCTCAATAGTTTATAATCTATTTTAAATTCTTACCTAAATTATCAACACTTGCGCTGGATCACCATAGAACCATTTTCTCCACTGGCTGTTTTGAGAATTTGAGTCTTTGGAAGTACATGCTAACACTGTAAAATAACTTTAACTGATCAGGCTTCTACCAGTCTTAATCAACTTGCTTAAATTTCATAACACAAAGTTAACAACTCAGCAAAAAAAAAATACAGAGAAATGAGCGACATATTCCTCACTCATACTTACGCTCTTCTTGATTTTTTTCTTTCCTTCTGCAATGACCATCCAATGCAGCATCCTAGAATGAGACAGGTCAGTACCATCTTCTCCATAGATCCAGGTGACGTACAAAAGATGGTTGTAATATTCTATTGAGGTAATCTCGGGTTAAATTTCGTAACACAAAGTTATCAACTCAGCAAAAAAAAAAATACAGAGAAATGAGCGACACATTCCCCACTTATACTTACGCTCTTCTTGATTTTTTTCTTTCCTTCTGCAATGACCATCCAATGCAGCATCCTAGAATGAGACAGGTCAGTACCATCTTCTCCATAGATCCAGGTGACGTACAAAAGATGGTTGTAATATTCTATTGAGGTAATCTCGGGTGCCACTGGTGCTGAAGGAAGAAGGCAAGTGTATTACAGACAGGGTTTAACACAGCTGATTACCAAATCCAGTAATAAACTTCTGCCAAAGGATACTGTTGGGAAGAGAGCATCATAAAGATAGCAGAAAAATATTAGTAAAAGCATCTGCACCTGAGTGCTAGCTGAAACGAAACCCGGCATATAACCTGGGAGATACTTGGAACAAAAATACATTTTCGTTTGCAAATTCTTTTGGTTTTAAAAAAAAAATCATGAAGATACTGCCTGATACAAACTATTTTTTCAGTCAACATATTTATAAATGGAATTCAAAATCAAGTTAAAAGCCTCAGATATTGCTTCACTGTTTTATAGCACTGAAAAGAAATGACAATCAGTGAGAAATAAAGAACTGTCACACTGAATAATTTGGATGGCTTTTCCACAGGAAAAAATATCTTCTCTTCACCAAGCTTGCATCTTCCTAGGAAGAAAAGCCCTAAACTTGCAGTTTTCCAAAGAACACCTTTTTGCATAAAAAGTTATGGCCACCTTTGTTCCCAGGATGAAAGTCCCAGCATCACAGAAGGCAGCTGCCAGCTGACAGCCATCTAAGCACCAAGTGTCCAGTCTACAGGCATACAGTAGCTACATTACTAGGTATTAGGGGAAGCAGCTATTGTCCCTCCTCTTCCTCCACACATCCAGCTCCAACCCAGCGCCGTCCCCTGCCCTCAGCTCAGACTGCCCCACCGCAGCCCCAACAGCCTGTTTGATGGCTTGTCTTCTGCGGGAGCTGCCAGCAAGTCCTTGTCTCCCTGTGCAGCCCAAGAAGACAGACAGCAACCTCCAGAGCAACTCATCTCCTCCTAAAATAGGTATGTAAGATGAGAATTACCTCCTGGAGGTGCCTGTCTATTTATTGCAGAAGGGAGTATATCTGGTCAGCTCACCTTGATTGCCTAATTGGGAGGTGCAGGTCCCCAGTTAGGATTTAAGTCAAAACCGAGCAGAGATTCAAAAGCGAAAGTCAGTGATTGGTAAAGATCATAACCTCCCTCTCAAAGTGGTATCAGCAGGATAACCTGATAAAATGGGGAAGTGTACAAATCTGTGTGCTTGGCAGATTCTTTAGGAGCGCCGTAGGGAAAAGGATACAGACCGATTGACCTTCCTCTGCCCAAGGCCCGCTGAGTCCCGCCTGTTTGTGCAGTGGCCCCCCAGGGGCCGCCTGGCACCCCGACCCCGCCAGCAGCAGAGCCCGGGGTGCCAGCACAGCGGTGGGTGCCAGCGGCCGAGACAAACGCAGGACGGGCTCGGCGCTCGGGTCTGTTTGAAGGGACCGCAAGATGTCACTGCTGCTTTGACGAAGGCTTCTATGACTTTTGCACCGAGACATTCGTTAGCGAACAGATTTACTGAAGTAATCGCTGAGGAAGGCAGCAAATACAATGCACGGACAATTCAGAGCCATTGAGAAACGTTTAGTAAGACTATTGTCTCAAATCAATCTTGAAAATGTCCTTTTATGCTGTTGTGAGGAAGCAACCTTATTTAGTATAAAATCTTTAAAAGTAATGCTTCTTTTAATTTCTAGAGTTCCCAGTCCATCCCTGCGCAAGGATTGTGTATCCCTTACAATTTAAGGTCACAACTGGCATGAATCTTATACACTAATAATAATTTCCTCCTATACCTAAATATTGATGACATGCTTTCCCCTCTTACTTTTCACCCAGCTGTTCACTTTAGGTATCTGGCAATGAATGTCCAGGATATGTGGAATGAGACTCAGGGCCAGGGCCTGCGTGACCCACTCCCCTAGAACCATGTTCCACTGGGAGATGAGCGGCACAGAGAGGCTGTAGGAAATTACATCCCGTTGCTGACCTGGCCCAAAGTGACAGCTGAAAGCATCCACGGGACCAACAGGCAACAGACGTGGGAGTACTCACTAACACCAAGAGCCTGTCTTTCTTACTGGTTTTGCTTCTCTAAAAAAGCATTCTCATTGTAAAAGAAAATGTTGGTGGTCTAAAGTGCTCTTGCTTATGATTGCTTTAAATCCAGCTGTTTACAGCAGGTGGCATTAAAAACTCATTAGTCACCACAGCAACACTGGCAGCACCTCAATTTCTCTCTCCATTAAAACAACAGCGTGCAACTGCTGCTGCAGGAGTGTGAGAGAACAAATACCGCTTCTGGTAAGTCCCTGGGATCCCCCAAATCTCCCCCGTTCTCCTGGGGACATCCTTGTGTATTCCCCAGTTGTTGTGGGAGAGAGGTATATATAATCTCGTCTCTTGTAATACCCTTTTCATTCCAGGTACTGCAGTTCAGTAAAGCCCTAGCCTTGCTACAGACTCCACGTGAGCAGTGGGACGCTGTGTTAAGGAAATGGTTTGTCTGCTCTGAGCTTTCTGCAAGGTGTGGTCCCAAACTCCCAGATGATCCTTCTGCTTTGTTTTAAAACGTCAAACTCATGCTCCAGGTGTAGAGGTTCACTTTCCAGTTATACACAGAAGAACTGACAGATGGTGTACTGTCAAGAAGACTACAAAACCTTCATTCTAGTATTTTAAAATTCAGGGCTTTTTGGTGGGGTTTTTTTGTGCGTTTTAATTCCTGGCAACCTGTGCAGGACAGGTAGCATTGTTCAGAATGATGCAGAAAGGGACGAAGTGCTCCATAAAACCATCTGTTCCCTCTCTGGAGAGAAAGAGGTTGAGGGTGATAAAGAAATCCGCAGTCCCTTGGTAACTTGAAAGAGCGAAAAGGCAGCACCTACTGGGGACAAACATTTCAGAGCTGCAGACATGAAAAATGGGCATGCTACTTTCTGGCAAGTTAGCCTGATAGCACTCCGTGGACAAAGCTGAAGAGATTGCAAGTAGTAAGGCAATCAGAGGACAGGAGTGTATTTAATGCTCACATTCAATGGTGACCATCTATTGGTAAGCGTTTGTAATTTGATCAAATCAGATTTTTTTGTTAGGACTCTTCCCTTAAAATGCTGTGATCTGGCTCGCTGCTATTCAACATTTTCATCAATGCTCTGAAAGTAAAAGCGCTGCTGACAAACCACACAAGTAACATGGCAACTGGCAGAGGAGTGGAGGATATGGACAGTTCTGTGATTTGAATTATTGGCCCCTATGCTGGGCCTGCTCAAACAAAATGTATTTCAAAGTACCAGGTGCAAAGTTGAGTATTTAGGGAAAAGGTATGTAGACAACAGCTGAAATGATAAATTCTGTTAGAAGCCACAGAATAGAAGTAAATCAACACAGACTTCCAGTGTGATGCCATAGCAAATGCAATCATCTAGAGGCGCAAACAGGAGAGCATTGAATAGGGAGCTGATTTTGCCTCTGTAGAAGTATTCAGCAGGTTGGTATTACACTTTCAGTTTTCATGTACTTTGGTAAAGCCAGTAAAAATTAGAGAGGTAGAGTGGGGGGAAAAAAGTAAAAAAGTACCATGAGAAAACACCTTACAGTAAGAGCATCTGAAGAGTTCTTTGGAAGCAAATTCTTAACAGAATATAGTGAAACTAAATTTTGTATAGAGAGGGGAAAAAAGCTTTGTGTCTCTTCAGTCAGTAACAGAAAAGTGTAACAAGAATTATGGACTGGATATTAAAACTAGAAAAATTCAGATCAGAAGCAAAGGATAAACCTTTGATAATAAGAGGAATTAAGCATTGGCACAACTTTCCAGTTAGATATTTTCACTTAAGACCAGATGACCTTTTTGAAGAGAGGTTTTGCCAATCATAAATGGATTACATTGTCTACAAGATTAATCCATTTCTGATTTTGTCTACATCTGCTAGTTAAGGAGTTGATCCATTTTTCATCTAATAGCAGTAACAGTCTTTACTTTCACCATACAGAGATCCAGACTGATCCTGATGACAGCTTATATTTTAGAACAACCTTAATCTCTCTCATTTCTGCTGGAGGTTTCTGGAGACCATGCATTCAGCTGATGGAAGAGAGTAATCCAACACTATGCTTTGCATAGGAAAATTCTATATATTCATTTAAAGCAGTCTTCAGACCTTTCCTTAAAAAAAAACAAACAAAACCCAAAAAAAACCCCAAACCCCCAAAACCCCACTTAGCTGTTAAATATCCTACCTGGCAAGGATCTGCAGGTGAAACACAACACCCAAGTTTGACTTTCTCAGCACTTCTGCTTCTGGGAGCATTTGCACAGTCTTTTCAGATGGCCACTTACCTGTTATGAAGCTGATGGTGGAGCTGTCACAGCAGCTGAGCTCTGGGTCCCCCCAAGTCACCATGGTGACCCGGAAATTGTAATACCAAGCAGGCAGCAGGTTAGCTATTCTCTGTAAAGTGACAAAAGACAAACAGCAGCTCAGGATAAAATTCATCATCATGATGGGTGACTCTTAAAATACAACAACATTTATAAATCTAGTGCCCACACTCATTTTACTGAGCTCCCATTCCTTACTCCAGGGGAAATCTCTGAAATCTGGCATTCGAGTATATTCAAAAATCTGTGCAGTGGGAGTGAACACAGTTGTGATGGTTTTGCTGCTGATCCACATGCACGTGGTCCCAGGTCCTACTCGCCATGGGAACCTCTCACTGATTTCCAGGGCAGTGAGAATGATTCCCGCAGAGTGATTTTCCATCAAGAAATTCTGATTTGACGAAGGCAGAATATTTAACTGGAAAATGTAGGCTTTTCTATTTTGATTAAATAGGGTTTGAGGATAAATTAGAAACAATGTTTTTGACTTAGATATTGTCACTTCAAAAGACTTACTTTTTCCAATTTTCAAAGTGTATTTCACTTTGTATTATAATTTGTTATAAATGAAATATGAATGAAACATAAATGACTTATGATACATAAATTATATATAAATACAAATGAGATTAAAATGAAGTATACAATGTAATATATTTTGTATTATAATATCATATGCGATATTTAAGTTAAAATTCAAATACTTCCCTTGACAGCACAAAACACTTCAAATATTTAATTTTATGGTTAAATAAAAAGCCTCATGATATTTTTAAAATTCAAAATAAAAGCAAATTGGAAATAACAAAAATTTTCAACAAATTAGAAATTGCTGTTTTTACAGATCTCTGCTGTTTGCAGTGGCCGGGTTTTTTTTCCCCAGATACTACAAGGCAATCCAAATATAGAGTTTGTGGACTATTTTCTTTATGTGATTTAGAAAAAGTTGTATCCAATTAAAACCAAAACCTTGAAGATGCTTGGACTTCTTCTGACATGCCGCTGGTGTAATATTAAAAATACCAACATTGCTTGGACAATTTTAAAATAAGACACAGAGCACAAAATGAACAAAGCAACTAAACAGAGTGAAAGGGAAAATTAATTTCCAAAGGTTCTCACCAAGTGATAATGCTTCAGGAAATAATTTTTTATCTAAGCTGTCAGATAGCTTGATTTTTGATTCCCCTGCCTTCCCACTGGGCTTGACACTGTTGCTCCAGAATACACCACTAAGAGATGTCAGTAGATCATAGGGAAATTCGTGCGACATGGTAGGATTCTGGAGCACCACCGGAGAACCCAAACAAAAGTTCACCGATACCTACCTGTATGTTAAATGCCATAACAGAAGAACAGGGAGACACTTTTTCTCTAATTCAGGCTTACTCTTTAAAAGTATTCTTTAAGAAATGCTCACTTTAGCTGAGATACAGCACTGTCGCATTTCAGACAAATTCAGACAAAGGAATTCCAACTCAGCTTCCTTGAATAGAATTTGCAACAGTAAGGGACAATATCATCTCATTTTCTAATGAACCACATTAACTCTGGAAGATGACATTACTTCTAAGATGACTTGGATCACTCAGATACTAATGTAATTGTGCTGAGTCATGATTACAAGATATTAATTACTCATTTGGTAAGTTATTTTTGTTTTTAATTTCCCTGGAGATTTATGTGCTAGATTTACAGTCATGTACCCAATTACAGTTAAGCCACTGTAGCCAAAATGACTCCACAAATGATATTATGCAAATGAATTGCAGTAAATCACTGTGGTTCTCACAAGCAGCAAAAGTTATTGCTAGCCTTTTTGCATACTCATAACTTTCTGAACAACTAACTTCAGCTAAAATTGCTTGCTGTCTTGTGCTACAGTAAAGTCTGAATAAAATCTGTTCACCTTCTCTAGGAAATAATGGGAAAGAGGAGGAAAAATTCACTTTATTTCTGCAAAGATCTGTGTGTGTATATGTGCATGTGTGTTCTTCTAGGGACCAGTCTCCACCCAGTTGAAATCCTGGCGTAAGTCTTTGTAGCTTCAGAAACATGAAGGCTATTTTCACAAGAGCGTCTCTGCAGCTAAGCCTTCCAGATGGCACATTACAAGACTAGCCCGCAAGACCCAAATCCATATTATCAATATTAATTATGTATATAAGGCTTTGGACCACTCCCCCCGAGGAGATGATGAAATTTTTGAAGCCTTGACTGATAAACTGACCTACAAACTGAGGCTGCCTCTGGACTTGCTGAACGTGCCCATTTGTCAGCAAAAGAGGCTCATCTCCTATCTCATCAGTCTGCTTAAAATTTAGTGTGGTTCAGCTGGCATTCCCTTACTTCAGAGCAGAAAATGCCTCTAGCATCCTGGCCATTTTCTCTGCTTTGCCTGGAAAAATGTGTCAGACTTAAAGGCATATATACACATTCACGGGGGAAAGGCTGGGCAAAGAAAGTCACAAGGTGCCAGGGCCACACAAGCATAGGAAAGCAATAGTCAGTAATGGTCACTTTACCACAGAGGCAGTTAAGGAGATGGTTGCTGCTATTTCATAGTAGGTTGTCCACTCAGATGTCATTGTTGATGGGTTGAAGTAAAACATTTCTACAACGTATTTCCTGAACACGCCAAGAAAAGGTCTGTTCCAGCTCAAAACCACAGCAGTAGGTCCCAAAGGGTAAAGTGTCAGATCCTTTATTCCAGTGGGCACTATAAACCAGAAATTGTGGTTAGTAACGTGTATGTTATCCGTTACACCTTATTTTAAAACAATACCTTTCCTTAACCAAATTCTACCTATTTCTGGTTTGTTTCTGACTTTAATTCCCAAGAGCTTCCTTGTCACAAGCAGCCAAATACCATTTTTTCAGTATTTGTTCTCCAGTTTGTGTCTACTTTTCCAGAAATGACTACAGGCTACTTTGTGTTGCCTGCTTAGCTTGAGATAAAGTACAGGGCTTGCTTTTTCATAAATGGAGGGTTCCATTCTACTTTGAAAATCAGGATGTTTAGGAGATATTTCAAGTTGCTCAAAAACAAAAGCATCAAAAGCCGTAACACTTTGGAAGATGAAGACTACAAGAAAGAACAGTTTTTATGTCTAGCCCTCTTTCTCTGGGGAACCTAAAGGTGCTGTCATGTATTGCTACTCTTGCCTCACAGATGATGACACTGAGAGAGAGGAGTCAAGTGATCTGAAGAATGTCGCATAAGAGCCAACTTCTGCAACCCTTACTTGTCTGGAAAGCAATTATTCTTCACGACTTAACTGAAGCTACTTAAATAAGTGCTTTGCTAACATTTGTAAGGGTTGCGGAGCCCCAGCTATTGCGCACCTAGTCAGAGCCAAGACCAGCACCCAGATTACTTCAGGCCATGGTAGCACGATTGCCTTTCCCTTCATAAATCATTTACCACACCTTTTCTTTACTTTCTCTAAAGTGTTAATAGTCACCCAGTGAAAGTGAGGCTTAGGATAAACATGGGCAGAAATGAATACTTTTAAAAATGTATTTTATCTTATTTCAGTTTCATTCATCATTAACCATGACTAATAATTTCACAGAACAGTTTGTTTTGCAGTTCTACTATTTTAATATAAAATTCAATATCCTGTTATGACATGGAAACTCATACAACTGTTGTTTTACTGCATAAAAACATCTCCTTTATAATAAGAAATGTATGAGATGTTCTGTTTAGAAACTGATCACCATTTTTAGTTTAGTAAGAATGTTTTTATGGTTGTGAGGCCACAAAAAAGTGGAGAAAATGAAGGAACTTACTTACTTTGGGAATATATGATTTTATTTTCCCAAGTGGAAATAGAAATTTACAGATTTCTGAAGTAACTACAGTAAGAAAGAAAATCAAAAGCATTTGTAAAAATTGTCCAATTATAGAGATTTTTAATAATAAAGTATATACATTTTTACTTACTATTTTTTCCTTTACTGAAATACACCATACTCTCTTTTCAAATTTTTATTCAGACCCACTTTATGAAAATATATAAGGAGATTGCCTAGAATGAAAAGGCTCTCACCATATTCACTAGTCCACATATTTGCTTTCATTTAAGGACTCAATTCTTAACAGGTTAACTTTGTTTTTTTTCTGTTTCACTTTCTTTCCTACACCACCGAGACGAACCGGAATGAAAAATACTGAAGATCTCTAACTTTCTGCCACCTGATCTCCCACAAGGCAGACTATTTGTCAAAAGGAGAAGCTTGGTGACTCAGGTTAAATATTTCTCTGCAAATGTAACTCTACACATGGAATCTCTTTCTCTTTGCCCTTTCTCTTCTTAATGCATTTTGTTAAAGTGGTAACCTTAACAAAATAAATGATACTGATCTAAAAGATACTAATTCTATCCTAAGTGACTCTTTATCCTGAATTACAGGCATGGGGACAGCAGCGCTGCCAGCTGGCAATAAAACCACATTCTTGAAAATGTTTCTCTCGGTTTGAGAGGGTTCTTCTTATCTTCATATCTCAAAGCAGAGAACATCAAGATCCATAATTAAGCTCAAGAAAATCAAGGCATACACAACTGAAGTTGGTGATGGTCTGTAGGAGATGGCACTGTAGAAGATAAGCCAGCTCTTCTGACTCTTAGCACTGTGGCCTTCAGACTGGGCCACATTATATCCTTCATAAAGCACATTTGCAAGGAATGTGTTAGCAGCAGTCCCACACACTTCATAAGACAGTGGGAATGAATCACCTCTAGGAAGTGCCCACATACCTCCATGCACCACAGACCAGCTACAGCTCAGGCTGTCTACACCTAAGTGAGGTGACTCCCACCCTACATGACAGAGACCATGAGCACTGCTAGAGACAAACGTATATTCAGGCGTCCAAGGGTGAAGCTGGTTCTTCCCGCAGGGCCATTCTCTGTGCGAATCCTGGTCATAACTGCTCTCTAGTTAGGTTTGGTAATAACTTAACATTTAAATGTGAAATATCTATCTTCCAGAGAAGGAGTATTTTCCCCACCTCAGTAATGGGCTAGACTGTGCAAGAAAAACATTGTCAATAAGTGTTCGTTACATTTGAAATAACCAACATGAGAATTTTGTACTCCTTCATGTGCTCTAAGACTTAATGAATATACTATACATATTTAAAAATGAAACAAAACAAACACATTTCAAACAGCAGATGCAGGGGTTACCAATGGAAAATGTAACAGGATCAGAAGGCGGTCCCACCAACGGTCCTTTCCGTAAGTAAACCACAACTTGGTACTGGGCACCAGGAACAAGATTTTCAATGAGGCTGCTGCTTGAGTTCACCTAATAGGAGGGGAACACATCAGATATGAAGTATTTACTTGGTTAATTAGAAGAATATTGAGACTGTACTTGCACTACTCCAGTTACAAAAAGGCATGATTCTGAACACACTGGCATCAGCAACTAAAACTCCATTCATTAAATCCAAAATGCCAAAACTGTGAAAGTGGTCAGGATTGACTTGACAAATGATTTGACTCAGAGAATCACACTTGCCTTGCTGCGTAAGGCCAGCTGTCACACTGCAGACCCACTCTCTCCTACTGACAAAGTTTATTGAAATATTCAGGTTACATCATTCATATTCAGGTGATATTATTCAGGCTGGAGTATTTAGACTGTGTGTTTTCAATAAAAGTCTGAGGCTTTTCATCGGCCATCTGATTCATCTCCAGCTATGTGAGCTGAAGGCAGTGTTATGGGAAAGCTGGCTTCTGAATGCTTGTGTTAAGTGACTGCATGGTGAAATCAGAGAGGAATTACTCTCTTTCACTTCCCCTGCACAGCATTACAAAACCTGACTAAGGGACGTTGTGATTTTTCATTTCAGTTTGAAACATCACCATTAAAGTTTCTACTGTGCCACACCAAGTTTCAGCCAGAGCTGGAGGCAGAATGTCTGACCAAGTGATAGCTGGTCTGATACAATATGAAAAGTTTTATCTCCTGAAAAGCCAGCTAACAGCAAATGTACAGAGCAGCTTTGAGGAAAGGACTTCATCCACCCCTTCTAGAACTGCAGGTTGATATTCCTGCTAATATTTTCTTCACAATCTTCCCGAAGTCTGTATCACAGCCATCTTTCCCCTGGTGGTTTACTGCAATGCATATGAATACATCAGTGCCAGTATAGATTTAGTGAGGAACAGAACTTGTCTTTAACAGCTGCTTTGGAAAGCTAAATCACTTTTAAATCATGCATAATGTTAGATATGGATAGAACTCTGCACTGAATTTTGCCCTTTTGAGTTTGTGAAGGAGATTTCAAACCAACAGCCGTTAACAATTCCAGGTATAATAAGCTGATAAAATTTGATTAGAGGTGGTATGAACATTTGTAATGGCAGAAAGAAGCAAATAACTGTATGTAGACCTTTCTACCTATTTGCAATAAACACGTGCTTACTTTTCCAGATATTTTGTTTATTCACAGATTAGCTTTAGGTACTTGTTTTTGAGTTTGTAGATTAATCCTGTAGTATTTACTTTAATCATATATGTACATACTTGTGATCTGTGGTTTATAATCACTTACAGTATTGTTTTGCTTCCTAATTAAATGACTGCACTTTTAATAAATGGAAGGAAAATAACTCATTGAGATTACAAGCTAAGTCTGGAAAACAATTCTCAAATTGTCATGAAAAGACACTTTCAAACATTTAATTTCACAGCCATTCTTGGAATAAAACTGAAAATGTTTTGACAAAGATTAATTTTAAGAGACATTTTTAAAGATGAAAATCTACTGGGAGTGTTAGCGGTCTCCTTCCATGCCCATGGGCGAGCTGAG